AAAAATCCCAGGCGCATTAACCCAAAAGGTATCGGGCTCATATGTATATATATATATACTCATCATGGAACCTTAGCTTAAGTTCCTTCAAGCCCAACCCAGCAAATGCCTTGGGGGGTCGGGCTTACAACTTGATACTGTAAGGTTTAGGGCTTGGGGTATTTGAATTCAGGCGTGGTGTTTAGAGTTTATGAAAGATGGTTTTGTCAGGCTCTATGTGATCTCTCAGGATGTTCGCATCTTCCTTGCAGATATCCGAGGGCAGAGAAAACTCTGGCTTCAGCCGGCAGTGTGCAATGCACACCGTGAGAGCTCTTCTAGCAAGCGGGCTGGGGCATGTCAAGAACCAAGGTGACGAAGCACTTGCTGTCACTCTTGCTGTGCCTGTGGTCTGAAAGATACCCAAAGCCCTAAACTGTAAATGTGGTTCAAACTAATAGGAATACTTGGAAATCGTCTCAGCTCAGCCACGCAATGACCAAGCTCGCCGAGCGAGACACCCCAACCTTACTGGCAGCAAGTAGGGAATGGACATGAAAATGGAAATTACTGCAAATTGCTGAGGATTACATAGAGATTACTATAGGGACTGAAAAAATGAAAACTTCTCTTTAGGGTATAGGCACAGGGTTTGGACCTTGGGGAATGGAAAACAAGATGGAAGCTACCACATTACTTAGAGTGTAGGGTTTATGGCTTAGCTTGAATCGAAAATTTATCAGGGAATGAATAATCCCGTACAAAGTCCCTGCAGAATATCCTACTCCTTCAGTCCATACTGAACAGCAAGCAGCACGGCAGTGCACGAGCACGTTCTCCCCCGCGGCGAGGGCATGCTGAATGAACTCCACGCAGCCGTCGATGTAACCTGAGCGCGGCTTGTAGCCTAAAGTAAACGAAGCCTGAACAGTTCCAAGTACTGTCGACTTGCCTTTCTATACCTTCTGTCAAGATAAGGCGCTCCGAACCCTTCTGAATCACTTGCTGCCAGGTCGCTCAGAAGGTCTTCCTCCGGGCTATCGTCGACATCCACGCAGAAGTATTTCAGACGGCCCTGTGAAGGGGTGAAGATTTGCAATGGGTACCTAAGGACCCCTGGGAGCACATGGAAATTTCCAACAAATAGGGGCCGGCTCAAGGAGGTTGGTTGCGGAATTCAAACAGGACTCCACTTCTCGAGCCACCAAAACTACTTCCTTCCCACCCACCGGGAAGGTCAGGATGCCCCCAACATATGAGTGATGCTCCAGCCACAGGGGATGATCATTATGGTTGATAAGGGTTTCAGGCTTCAAGGCTTCCGATCCGAAGCCTGGGGCTTCAGGTTTGGTTTTAAGGCCTCTGCTCTGGGAAGCACTATGTGAACCCCCAGCAAAGTACCCCGAAATCATACAGGTACCCATTCACTCCCCCACTCCCCTTACGCAGGCTTGGGCTGCCTTGCTGCCACGGAGAAAGTAGGGAACTGCTTAGACAAGCCTATTGTGAGGCTACGAAGTCGGATTTTCATAGGGGATGTGTGACCTAAAGTAAGATCCCTAAGATACCTTGCATGTTCTTGCCCTGTCAGGCCTTTGACCCTAAACCCTACGGCCTATATCCTAATCTTTTAACCCTTGCAGACCAAATGCTGCTAAAAGATCTCCTGAACCAGGCATCCAACAACCTGGCTGACATCCCCAAGGGGTCTTGGGTTCTGGGGTTTCGTATTAACTCCTAGTGTATAGGGGCCTGAGTACGTAGAACAAGCCTTTGGGATACATGCAGCGATAATACTAGTATTTGTTCAGGGCTCTGAAACACAACATCTCTATGCCTAAACCCTTAACCCTCAGCCTTTAAACCCTACGCCCTGAAACCCTGATTAGTTTCAGACCCTCAGCTCCGACCTCAAAGAAATTTGGCGTGTCCAGTGTGGCATTGACTACCGATCGAATTCCCAGCGCCTATCGGAAGCTTGCGGGTTTGCGGTGCATTTTTGGTTCGGGACTTTTTCCTGCTATGTCGGGGTTCGGGGTGGCTTGAGGGTTAAGATGTCGGGCTTGGGATATATTATAAGGTTTTGGTTATGTTTAAGAAATAAGTTGTAAAGCTGCAGGTTCAAAGTTCGAGATCTAGTGCCAAGTACTTGTTTCGAACCTTTTTTACCAGCGCTTGTTTGACTTTCTCATCGTAGATGGCGGAGGAGGCAGAGGCAGAGGGAGAGGGGGAAGAGCTGTTATAACGGCCAGGCAAAGTCCTCATATACACCCGAGCGCCACCCAGACTCTACTTAAGCTGCTACTGGCTCGGGCCAACATTCATTGAAGGTTTATGGTCACGGGCGCGCTACGTCCCTAATGCTTTATCTGCCAAGCCATGAAACCCTTAAATACCTCAAAGCCTAAATCCTCATCGAGAAGCCGGTCACCCTTAGATCCCTCAAGCCCACACTCAAATCTTTGACGCATCCAACTCTACAACCTCAAATCCCCATACCATCAACAAGCCGTCCCGGCTGGGGCCTCTAAGACGCCTTCATCACCCGCGGCGTCTCGGTCGCCCAGGTAAAGGCGACCCAAGGAGCCTGTCCGGGATCTTTTAAGTCACATCAGCCTACTTTCATGGCTTGTAGGATTATAGGAGAAGTCATCATTCTTGCACTATGTGCGGGTTCCTGCAAACTCCCCTCTCAAAAAAATAAGGGACCCTCAGAATCCCTTTTTTATCCGCACATGTTACTGGAACCCCAAATAGGTACTTGGGTTTGGGCTTTGGGGTTCCGGCTTTTGTTTTAGGGAGATAATACGAAAAGCCTGCACACAGAATCAAGCAGCTTCGTATCTCGATAGTCTCGGGGTCGCCCAGAACTTCCCAAACCATTATGCCCAGAATGTTTATTATTATACTGATGACATTAGGGCATATACTTTAATTATGACTCTTTGCAAGCTCCGGGCATTTGCACAAGCTCGTTGCCTGGAAGATAGGGGTCACAAAAGAAGATTAAATCCATCACCCACCAAGTTGCAGCATCCTCCGTGGAAGCAGCTCCCTCAAATGAACCCTGAACTCGAAGAAACCCTGACAAAGTCGCAGCATAGCATGGACATGCCTGGAGCGCTCGCGGCTTCCTGAGTCAGAGCACGAACATTCTAAAATTATCCCAACTTTATCCTTGGACATGACGCATTCCACATGTGGTCCCAGTGCTCTCGAAAGGTTAAGGCAGAGAATTTCTGTGTAGGGACCCAAACAGACCTTACTGCTGGAAACGCCCATGTGCGCATGAGTAGGTGAAGGTCTTGCTCTAGTCCGCTTGTTGATTCTAAAACCCCCAACATAACCCCTGCACATCACATACGGATCCCAGTAGATCTCCCTTTAAAATGCAGAGTCCGCAATTTGAAGATACTTCCCATAAGCATAAATTTGGCTCAGCAATAGTCTCAAGCATCCCTAAATCCTAGACCCTGAGCCCGACAGAATCCTAGATCCTCAACCGTGAAACTTACATCCTAAATCCTGGACCCGAAACCGCAAATCCTCGATCGCAAGCCCCTACACCCCGTATTCCCCATACAGCATATAACTCCATCTATCCCTGTATCTCCCTTTAAAGGGAAGGGGTTCCACATAAGTCCAGCTTCAATATGCGAAGGGAGATTCGCAAAGTCGCCCTTTCCCAGGATCAGAGGATGCAGCGCTCTAAGAAGCCCCCGATATATGTGCCTGGGCTGAGGGGGAGGAGATTTAGGGCTTACGCCTTAGGGTTTGGTGTTTTGGTGCTTGGGGTAATATCCTAAGTCCTGAGCCCTAAATGCGGAATCCCAAATCCTAAGCCCTAAATCCTGAGTTCTAAATCCTAGATAACCATGAAAAATATATGTAGGTAGAGAAAATTTTGGGTGTAGGGTTTCGGAGCCTCCAGCTGACCCTCCACAGGGGCTCGAGCGTCGAAGTCTTCCATCTGCACCGGATGATGGAGCTGGCGGTCTTAGAGTTTAGTGTTTCGGGTTTATGGGTTTAGGGTTGGGGCTTGGGGTTTAGGAGCCAAGTCGTCCTGGAGCTTGCTTGCCAGCAGCGCCGCGAAAGCCTGGAATCAGTTGGAAGAGGAAGCAAGGACTTGCATGTAAGGTTTTAGGGGAAAAGGTGCTGGGTTCAAAGGTTTGGGTTTAGGAGCGAGGTCATCCTCCTACCTCAACGTGGGACAGGTCGTCGTCGCGTGGCGCTTGGTTCGCCTTCTTCACCTTGCTCTGGCTCCCGTCAGGGTTAGGGTTCACGCGGGTTCAGGATTTAGGCTTCAGAGTTTAGAATTTCGGGTTTAGTGTTCAGGGTCTAGGGGCTCGGGGTTTACGAGCCAAGTCCTCAGCGAGCCCAGTTGCCGGTGGCGCTTCGATGCTTTGAGCTTCGGCAAGCCTTTCTTCGTCGACCTGAAGAGCACAACGAAGGAATTGCACTCTTTGGCAGCACTAAACCGTAAACCCTAGCAGTTTCACGTCTGCGCGTTCTCCGACTCTACTTCTTACAAGTTCCCACCCAAGCCCACTTTGACTCTCTTCCCGCACTTCCTCCTTCCATTCCCCGTCCATTTCTTCCCCCGTACCGCTTGCGCCGCTTTTCGATCAACGCTTCTCTTACGCTAGATCCTAAACACTGTGTCAAAGAGACAGCTGCTTGCATGTTCGGGCACGCGCATGCGCAATCTCTGAAAAGGGTTCCGGCTTAAGGGCTTAAGGCATTAAGGCATTATAGGACTCACGTAACTGCTGCAGGAGGCCAGTGCCTAAACTCTGGGGTCGGCCTGAGGACGTGGGAACGGTCAACCTATGGCCGCTGCACTTTCAAAGCGAGGTACAACAAGATTTCAAATCGCATGCGCGAGTAAAGATGTGGACCACTGTGCAGGCACAAATATCTGGGTTTGAGGTTGCCAGCCCCTCCTCCCTCCCTTCCTTCTTCCCCTCCTCCCACCTTCCAGAGGGCGCTTTGTCACAACCAATCGAGCGGGATGGAGCAAAGACAGGCGAAAAGCAAGACGGACTAGGTACAGCACAATGCACAGCAAAGCGTATCTTTTGCCTCGGCGCTCGTGGTCTGCTGGCATGTCTCACGCCAGCTCAGTCTCTCTGGCACCTTGGCTGGACTCATGACTCATGCACTTTGGGTATGGCCACGGCACCACACCACAAGCCATTATTCACAGACGGCCATCTACGAGAGAGCCCAAAGGCGAGAAGCAGGAGGACGTTCCAGCAGGGTGGGCCTCGCGACACAACGGATGTTCTCCAAGATCGAAGCAGGCAGTGACCGCATCTCTTCACGTCGGGCAAGCGGTGTCTCGCAAACTGAGTCCGTCTGCAAATTGGCATCACACAGTGGGCTGAAAGCGGGCTCACGCTTCTTAAGACCTTCTACACCCCAAGCACCTTGCTTCCCACCTCCCGCTACCGCAAAACAGGCAGTGACCACATCGGTTTGGGGTTTAGGGTTTGGGTTTGGTATTTGGATTTAGAGTTGGGTTGTACGGTTTTGGATAGAGCTGCGACATAGGTGCTCGGGCTTAGGGGATTGGGCATAGGAGTATAGTCAAGTAACGTCAAGTAAGTCTGTACAGTTTCAAACGCTGCGAGAGACCTGCGGAGGGGCAGTAAAAGTTAAGGATGGCTTGCTGTACAGAATGGCTATTCCGCGCACGTCAAAGGTGGAATCTACCTGGCCCCTGACTCCAATAAGGAACACCCCGAATATATTACCATTATATACTCTGGGAACATGTAATTGTGGCTGGGGTCAAACCCCAGCTGAAGTCAAGGCAACGCTGGAGATGGGAAACTTGAAGAGCGGACTACATCGGGGATTCCAGGAAGGGCTCTAGGTAGGAAAATGAAGTGCCGATTCGGGTGCTTAGTTGTGCTTCCAATATGGAAATCATGCCACAAACAGTGCCTAAAGATCCCTCATGTTTACTACGTACCACTCATTCCCAAGTAAGAATGAATCCCCTAAGTCCTAAGCCCTTCACTCCAAACGCCGAAAACGTCGGTCAAAACGTGGGACGGCCAGTCCCGGCCGACCTCTGCACAACCCTGAAATGGGAGCTTCCCAAGATTCTGTGCCTCTTGTGTTGGGGGGAGGTCCCCATAGAAAGGATGAGAGTATTTCGAGGTCTATATCGGATGTCCGCGGGCGTGGGCCTCTGAGATACCAAGAATGTCAGGGTACGGTGGATTTGTTTGTTAAGGGTTAGGGGCGGTGTATGGACCAAATCCTTTTTCCATTTATATAATTGCCAAGGTTTAGGTATAAGTACAAGGTCATGTGGGGTGTGTCCATCAACGATAAACCTCTGCAGTGCCAGTACACTTGTAGGTCCTGCTGAGCGCGCGTAGCCCCTCTTGAGTATCCTAGCAGCCCAAGATCCGCTTATTCGGAACATAGCATGAATCAGATGAGGGATCCAAACATCATGTAGGGCCTTCATGACGGTGTATCGGCCCTCCAGGAATCTAGGAGCCACCCTGTACGACTGCGTCTGCACTCAAGTGGCACTTGAGTGTGTGCGATGACCGCGTCAGAAACCTCGCGGAGCACATGGCCCAGACGGCAAACTATCCTTCTTAACTTAAGGGAATAAACCCTAAATGATACCAGGACCCCTAGTCTGATTTTCTGATGTACGCTGTATTCCTTGATCCTGGTGTAGTGGGCTCCCCCTCCCCAAACTAACATGGCACCCCAAGAAAGACTCCTGCCCTTTCGACACGTGGCTATATGGAGCTTGGGGGAGGGTAAGTGCGAGGATTGCGTTGCTTTTCGGTTCGCTCACCAATCCTGAACGCTGACCCCTACGCGCAAAAACGGTATATACCCCAAATCCTATACGTCGCCAGGACCCAGATATACTCATATATACCCATATACTACTTCTATAGTCCCTGTAGCACACCTGCAATCAGTCTTTCAAGTTGAAGGTGATGTTACTCCAGGGGGCATAGTTTTGCTGCACAGCTTCAACGTCCCTTGAAGCAATTCATGTGAGGCACAAAATTTGAATATGGTCTTCGAATATATTCTGGAAAAGTTGTATGCGCATGATGAGAGGATAACATTGGTAGTTATTCAGGCTTCTACACTGACCCTGCATGACCCATACAACCCCAATACCTTTACGGTCGCTGCACATTCCCCAAACTTAACCTCTCCACCTTCTACAACTCCAGTGTGCCTCGAAGCAGACTTTGAGCTCGGAAACCCTCAACTCTAAACTTCTAAACTCTAGTTTAGGGCTTCATGGTTTTGGGGTTTTGGGCTTAACGTCCATAAAGGTCATGGGCTTGGGGGCTGTCGGGTGTTGAGTCTGTTGTTTGCGGTGGGGATACATCTTCATCTGTTCGCGCCACTTTGTTACTCACAGGCATCGAGGTGTGTACCTCAGATTGGCAGCTGCGTGTCCTCAAATCTCACACGTGGTGATGTGTGCGCAGGTGTGCGTATCAAGGTCATAATGAGAAATATAGGATAGTACCACAAACCCCATCAATGTCGACGTACCTCACAGATGTTTCATGGAATTCGCTGGGGAGCCAACAATGTAAAGCTCAAGCAAGATGAGCTGCGCACATTAACAAGAGCCACTAGCCACATGGATTAGGGGGTTCAAATGTCCCTCCGCCATCTTCTTCCCTTGCGTATTGTGCAGCTCATCTCACTGTTCCAACTGCGAACCCAGCCAAGGCAGAAGGCTTGGCTTGTATGGGGCTCCAGGAACATCAGCGCAGAAGACCGGAACCAGGGAACCATAGCCCAGAGCAGCCATCCTACTCTTGGCTAAGGGCTTAAGGTTTTTAGGCCTAAGGGATTTAAAGCCCCAAGCCCAACTGTCGTACGGACCACAGTCAAAGCTGGTGCTAGTTGGAGGAAATCCAAGTCCCAGGGCAACTGCACGGCTGACAGTATGCTTGAAGGAGACAGGTGCTTGTAACAAGGATCCTCCCAAATGTCTGTTGTTTCGGCAGTCCTTTCCCAATCTTCAGGATTTTAGGTTTGCGTCCTGCATTACCTAGGGCTGTTAACGGCTGAATAAAGGACAGGTAGGTCATACCAAGGTTAATAACAGAGAGCAAGGTTCAAAGGAGAGCAAGGATCGAAGCGGCCAGTGTTTTCCAAATCCTTGGACATCAGACTCGTGTGGCAGCTGGGAGCTTAGAAACAGGACACAGCAGCCGCATAATTATTCGATGTGATAAGATGCTTTGTCTATCATATTTATCAAAAAACTGAAATGAGGATCCTACAAGAGCCATGCGATGGTCGGATAGGATCCTAGTTTTTTGGCTTGGGGGGTAGTCAAACCCTTTTGATTACAAGCTACGCCTTTGCAATAGCAGACCTAAGGCTTTGGAAACAATACCCATTAGTACCCCATAACCCTATACAACGCTTTGCAAGCGATCTAATGCCAAGGCTCCAACAAACGGTTGGCCCAGAACTCGGCACTCTTTGCTGCGGGCAAGGACACTTGGAGGCTGCCGCGGATCCTCTGCTAGAGGTACATGGGGGGCACATAGGGGAATCTTGGGAAAAATAGGGACAAGTAAGAAGGTGTGCGTATATTTACGTGTGGATAGAGAGGGATATCCAGGGTTTAGAGGTTTGGGGTGTCCGTCTTCAGGTGAATGGAGCAACACATGGGAAAAGAACCTGGAAGATGATGTGGGATTAACCCTAAACCCCAAGCCCCAAGCCCAAAACCCTGAACCTTAAACCCTAAATTTACAGTGACCTCTATTTGAATCCAGGGTTCTAGGTACGAGTTTAGGGGTAAGGGAGTTGGGGCGGTTGTTTGGGACTTTGGTTTCGATACAGAAGCTGCCGCAGCCCCAGTGGGGTCCAGGAATTCACTCGGGCTAACGAAGCGCTTCTTTGAAAAGGAACAACGTTTTCCTTCAAATTCGGCTCTGGAGGCACAGGGGGCTACCTCTGCTAGAACCCTTTTATCCACAGTCGCAAAAGCAAGAGTATTTTGGGGCATAGAGACGGGATTTTTGGAAAAGCCATCCTTAACGACATGTAACGAAATATGCTTGCTTTTGCTGAAATACCTGGATGGGGAAGGTTTGGAACACATCCATACTTCCCCCCCATAAGAAATTTGTGGCTTCAGAGGTTGTTGCGGGCAATCTGGAAGCTATTTGAGATGGGGGTTTAGATTTGTTGGGCCCGCCCACAAGGATGCCCCCATTCCTGAAAAAGACTCCACACACGTAGCCCCGACATGGCATGGCAAACCTACGTCGGGTACTCAGCCCATGTGACCGACAAGGTAACCCAAAATGCAAGCAAGTAGATCACGGGGTTCTACGGCTTATGAGGTCATGAGAGTACTTATTGAGACTGAGTAAACCACCTCTCAACCCTCCAAGTAATCACCCTGTCAAACCCAGTTGCCCTTTCAGAGGACTAAGCCGTTGGCCCTGGCTGCACCTCTGCACCAGTACCCTAGACGCCTATGACATGATGGGATCCCGGGTTGTAGGTCAAATTGGGCTGTTCAGAGTCTTGAAGGCTAAGGAACAGCAGTCCCTCATAT